AATATAAGGGAGCATCTACAGTATTTAAATAAGTAGCTCTTCTTTAACCAACTGTTTTTCAAACCCATCCCATCCTATATAATAAAAGGGTAGTGTGCAAACTGACCCTAACAGCGGAAAGACTGGGAACGACTGGTCGCTATGACACGCACTGACCATCAGGGGGGCGATGCTCAATGCAGGAGCTGCCCCCTGGTGGTCAGTGAGCTCCCACAGGGGGAGCTCCACTCAGGCACAAGCCGGGCTGAGGGCTGCCTGCGAGTGCACCGGCAGTGACGGGAACCTCTTCCGCCTCCTCGGCAGCACTAAGGAGCTTGTCCCGCCTCCTCTGCAGCACTAAGGATGTCCAACTGCAGCTTAGGCCCGCTCCCCATGGGCTCCCGGGCTGCCAGAGGGATGTCTGACTGCCAGTTTAGGCTCAGTCCCCCCAGGGATGGGCCTAAGCTGGCAGGTGGACATCCCCCGAGGGGTCCCGGACTGTGAGAAGGCACAGGCCAGGCTGAGGGATCCCTCCCCCCGAGTGCATGAATTTTCATGCCCCTGGCCTCTAGTTATTTATTAAAATAATTAAAATAGGGAGGGGTAGTAAAGGGTAAAGGGGGTCAAATATGTGGTGATGGAAGGAGATTTGATTTTGGGTGGTGATCACACATGCAATATACAGATGACTTATAGAATTGTATATCTGAAATCTGTATGATCTTATTAACCAATGTCTCCCCAATAAACTTAGTTAAAATAGAGGACATCTGGTCATGTAGACACTACCAAAATTGTACTGTTCGGCTGCCATTCTTCATCCTCCCAAAAGTATTTTTTAAAATTATTTAAAGCCTCAGGAAACATTTCAAATATGTAAAAGCACTAAAACATCACAAGTAGATACATATGAAACTATGCCTTTAAAATCCAGACTGTGTATGGACAACCCAGTGTGCTTCCTTGGCCTGTGATCATTATCTGATGTTTACCTTGGAAACAGTATAAAGAATCAGAAAGCCTGAGAGCAGCGCAGCGTAGTGATAGGGCTCTGGTGCCAGCCCGTCTGCTTTCAAATCTGACTCCACCACTTCCTACACACGTAATCTTGAGCTAGTTACTTGACCTGTCTGTGCCTCAGCTTTCTCTTAAAAAATGCCGATAACACCGCACCTACATCAAAGAAAGAATGGGTGAAGATTAAATGATTCCCTACATGGGAGGTATTAATATGTGCCTAGCCTATGGTAGACTCTTAGGAATGTTAGCTCTGGTTACTCTTGAGGGCAAAAATTTATTTGTGTCCTTCACAGCATGTTATGTACCAGCTTTGATTGCATTCAACATTGGCATACTCTTTAATTCACAGGTTGGTTTGTAAAGTTCCAGGCTCTGTGCCTTCATACATCCCTGGCCTGGCTTAGTCACAATAATCCTAAGCATGGACGTGTGTTTTCTGAGCAGCTTTTGTACAAAATGACTGTTTGGTCAAAGGATTTTAGATAGTGATATAAGTACGTGTCATTTGTCAAAGCTTCTCCCAGCAGTAATGACAGATATGTACCCGAGTGCTCTCCTCGCAGCAGTTCTTAGCTCTTACTTTTTTCTAGCGTGGTGTCTTAACCAGTTACCCCTTTTTCCACATTTCATTTTAGGTCCATGTCCTGACTTTCACTGTTAACATGTTGCTGCATGGCCTCACCTACAAGCTGCAAGTCGGAGATTTGGACTCTTGTTTAGATATAATGATTCAGGTAAGGTTTAGAGAAAGGAATTCCAATTTTTTTTAAATAAGCCAAGGACACCAAAAAGTCAGTTTACAAAATAAGAGAATAATAGCCTATGAAAATGAAATTAATGTTCTGTCTCATATCTTAGATTAGCAGGTTTAAAAAGCTAAGACTCAGGTGAAGTGAGCTGGTGTGCTGCCATTGTTTTCTGGAAGGAAAATTGGCATTGAGCAAAAATTTCAGCCACTTCAAAATATCTGTTTTAAAAGAATAATCAGAGTTGTGGTCTCGGGTTTATATAAATGTATATTTACCAGAGCTTTATTTATAATAGTGAAAAATTAGTAACAGTCAACTTTTAAAATTGAATCATATGATAATTTGAGGTAGGATTTGGAAGAGACTAAATTTTTTTTAATATATTTGTATTGATTTCAGAGAGGAAGGGAGAGGGAGAGAGAGATAGAAACATCAATGATGAAAATCATTGATTGGCTTGCCTTCTGCACACCCCTTACTAGGGATCGCCCGCAACCTGGGCATGTGCCCTTGACAGGAATCGAACCTGGGACCCTTCAGTCCACAGGCTGATGCTCTATCCACTGAGCCAAACTGGCTAGGGCTG